CAACATATAAATTCACTATCGCTCCAACACGTCAACACAACGTCTCGATTTTACAAGTTATTCGAACATCGAACCGTCACTATCGTTTCCATTTAAATTCCACGCACACACTGTTGTATAAACATAAATAAGTCATTAAGTAAGTAAGTAAGTCCTAATTCCTTTTTACACGCGAGAGAGAGACTCAAATTCTAATTTTTATACCTTTTCGAAACACACCGATACTTACCGATAAAACACAAACAGTCGTGTGGATGGCAAAGTCAGCGATGGTGAGCGTGTCACCAGCGACGAACTCTCTGTCAGCGAGATACGTGTTCAACAAGTCGCATGATTTTTCCACAGCTTGCACGTTTCTCTCGTTTGTAGAATGTGCTCCGAAGAATATTACAGGATACTAACGTGTCGAGAATAAATAACTGTATAATTATGTATTGTAATGCAATTATTGCTGTAATTGTAAACTATGAATAATCCGCGAATAACTGTCAATTATGTGATATAATTTAATTCGTAAATCATGCGCGCCTCCTGCGATAATTTAAACTTGCTATAAAACAAACACACGTACATTCAAGGTGTTTCAGTTTCAAACGATCATGAGTTTGTTCTGTGAGAGCAGAAAAATGGAAGGTTATATACATTCGTCGTAAGCAAAAATAGTACTAAAATGGTAGCTAACTCGCCTACTTGTTGAAACTACTCCTACTTGTTGAAACGGCACATTCCATACGAACAGTATTATATTATTAAATTATTTCGTGATATTGTTGAATTATCTTCTGACATACAACGATACGTCGCCTGTCATAGTTTTCAATGTAATTCGTATTTTTCCCTTGTTTCTACTCATGGAACGAACTGACGAAGTCAGATCGTTCGAAGCATAAAGTAGGATTGTTATCATACTGTCAAATACCTCTTATTATTAATGCGCTGTTAAATGCGTTTGTTAAAGCTGTTTCTACAAACAATGAGAGCTGTTAGAATACGTACGTAGCAATTAATCATGCTCTCGTGAAGTGAGCCGGCATCGAAATACAGCATTTGGTCCACGATGCCTCTCATTTTCGGATCTTTCGGATACAGAGAGTCATCCCTGGCGTACTTGCTCACTAAATATCCCATAATTGGTCGACTGCAACCACGTGGCAATATCATTGAAAGAGTAGGCTTGCTTCTCACGATAAATCATTGTTTCGTACCTTTCGCATAAGATGAATCCGTTGTCGTCTATCGTAGGTATTACATGCTGTGGATTTAGCTAAGGAATTAACAATTATTGTATATTAACAATCATTGTTTATCAACTATGGATTTAATTATGCATAGTTATAATAATTTATGCATAATATATTAATTATAATATTAATTATTAGTTATAAAAATATAATATTATAATAATTTATGCATTTAATTCAATGTCATATTAACTTTATCTAAAATTTAATTTCCCTTTCAATTCATGAAATTTTTGCACGAGTCATTCATATGTACATATATATCCATAGGATAACATTTATTAACAACTTACATTTCTTTGAACTTCCAGCATTTATTATAGAAATATTTTGGACTAATTTCTTTAAAAAGCTACTACACACGCGTTGCCTCTTCAATTCTTTAGCAGTGAGTGTAAAATTATTTTTAAACAACCGCAATTTCGTTTCCACGTTGTATAAATAGACGCGACGTTTTAAACATTACTGTTATAACTTTCGTACGAGTTAATCCATTTAAGGAGTTAACTCGCAATTACCTTTCCAAGGAATTTATGAAATTCTGTGTTCCAACATCGTGGCTATGAAAGAGGATTCCGACGATTCGTTTATCATCTTTTTCATCCACTTTCTAGATTTTACAATCTCGTGGAATTTAGCCACTGCTCTACGGCCAGAATGATCAATTTGTAATTTTCATTGGAAATTTTATAGATATAAAACAAACAGTTTTAATGTGATGGAACTTTGTGTTTTAATCGTAGTGTTGCAGCAACCGATGTGAAGAATTATATAAAACATTAATTTAATATTTTAGAAGAAACTTTTCTACAAAAATTGTTGATTCCGAACAAACCGTCATGTTTGCAAGACTGCAGATCTTTTTGTGAATTTATGGGAAAGTTAAGAACACAAAAAGATAGAGAACGCAAGCGTAATATTTAGAAATATATTTATATTAAATATACTAATATTAAAACATGGAAAGTAAATTTACTCGTTATAGTAAGCTGAAGAATGTAAAAGAAAACTATAAGTAGATTCCGTTCGTTTAGTTCCATTTTTTATGAAAGTACGAGAGATTGCATAATAAAAAATCTATCAAAATAAAAAAAAAGTTATGTTAATGTAGAAACTGGAAACGAACCTTCACGAATTCGGGCTTCATGTGCTCCCCCTTTAAGGGTGAAATCGTTTTCAAGTTCAAGTGGACACCGATCGCTTTTGCCAGTAGTAGAACCGACCGGCATGGCGGGCTACACACGAAGTAGTATAAATCAATCGGCATCTTTTCAGGCGCCTTTCTCGCGTCAGCGGGATTCCGTTCCGTCCTTTCTTTCGTTGCTGAAACGAACGTGATTTCGCAAACGAGATTTTTATACGGTAGATCCGGAATAAAGAATCTTACGAATCTTTACGTTTTGCATTCGCATGTACCCTCGGCTCGCATACAAATTTCCGTGATTACTGTGCGACTCTGATCCTATGTTTCGGGAGGAATTTTTATGGAAACGAACGTATAAGCATAATCGACGAGCGATTGTCAGGCAAATTGCATTTTAGACAGACAACTCTGTCATTTTCTTGCTCACTTTATTTTTAAGTTAAGATTCATTTTTTATTCCACGAGTTGTTGTTATTAAAAAGCAAGAACGTAGAATCCACACGAATTCCTCCTCGATATCAATTCAACGCAACCACCGAAATTAACAAAAAAAAAAAAAAAAAAAAAAAAAAAACAAAAATTAAAACGCCGATATCACGAAATACTTTCCTTTATCTCTGTGCTCTTTCCCCCTCACAGGTGAGAGAAACGCATTTTCAACTCCCTTGCGACACTTTCGTTCGGAGCGGACTGGACCCCGCTCTGGATTTCATTCGCGCGCGCGCGCGTGTGTTAACGATTTTCTAATTGATTGCCCGAATAACTGGCTGACAAAACAACCTACCCCGAAACGTCACGACACGAGTCGGTTGGCCGGCCACGTCGCGGAAAATCGCACGTTCCGCGAGCAGAACGCGAATAAAGAGAGAGAGAGAGAGAGAAAGTGCAAAAGCGTCGTCGAACGGTTGCACCAAGTTGCCATAGCGATGTCGTTATGCCAAACATAAGCGTCGAAGTGTAACAGGCGACATCGCGGTGTGCGTTTCGAAGGCTGAATCGGCACGATCGATATGAAAACAAGCCCGGAATGGTGGTCGCGCGATTGAAAACTGGAAAAAGTAATCGGGTCGCTTCGGGACAGGTTGACGGGTAGATTGTGGAAGATGGTTTGGGGGCCTGGCACGGGGATACGGCCACGAGAGTATCGGATACAGGCGCAGGTTACGAGATCCAACTATGGTTACGAGTCGGAACGTTGTCGGTTGTTCCCAACACAGGGGAAATCGTATTAATCTGCGAACAAGCGTTTCCGCCGGGCTGCAGGCGGTTGAACGATTGAAACCCAAAACAGCCGCAATGTTTTACGATAAACGGGGGAACCCGAGGGTGACCCCTACAGGGGGGGGGGAGGGTTGTGACAAATCCTACGCAAATGTTTGCAGCGAATTGTTCTATCGTTTTACATACTGTTCAGACGCGGATTCGCGATTACGAAGGTTGTCTCCTTCTGCTGTTGGTAAGGATGGTAAAGTTGTATTCTCTTGGACTTTGACGTAAGTTTCGTAATTGACTAATGCGTAATTAATGATTAATCGCGAGGTTTGCTTGTGATCGGCAGGAACGTCGAGAAAGAACAGTTGAAACGTGTTGAGCGAGTGCTTATTATTTGTTTCCGAGAGTGTTTTGTTTCTTGAACCCGACATTTCTCGATCAGGTAGGTCGGGCTCGCTTTCTGAGAAGACCTTGATGCTCAACTGCAACGGTAGTAAGCCTTCGTGCTGTGTAACACGTACATCAGGATCACTTGGACGGCAGTATTATCGTATGAACCGGTGCAAAGTACGTGCAAATTAGTAGTTTAGCCAAACGTCGGACGACATTTGTCAACTTTTGGAAATTCCTACGACGGCAGATGAATTTGATCATTGCGACCTGCAACTCGGTTGTTGAGATCAAACTTACTTACTGTTGGTAAGAAAGTTTCGAAAAGCAGATTTCAATAATTGTTCTCCATCCGATTGAAATTAAATTTCATAAAATGTCGAATGTTTAAGGAAATCTTACACGAAAGGGCTCGTATTAGGCGAATGCGAGGGCAAAGACGTTAAGTAGCCTGTCACGGTACAGGTGTTATAAGTTGATGCTCCATCTTGCCGGTAAATTTCATATAAATTCCACGGAATGTTGATATCATTCACTTGCATCGTACTGGTAGCATCATCATTTAAGATGCTTGCAGCGTACTGGGAAGATAAAGCACGTATCATTTCACGTTGTTTTAATTAGTTACATATTCTATTGCTCGTTGCTAAATTACCGACGCGATTTTCAAATGTGTGTTATTATTATATCATCTGACATAGCTGCTCTGACTGGAAAATACTAGTCTGACAAAATACTAGTCTCTTGTACTCGAAACAAAGTGGATTTAATCTTTTGTTTAAAACACTGTACGAACAAGAACAAGACGTCTGATGCTCACGAATCAAAGATCGTTGAACACCACTATGAATCCATTCTCGTCCATAAATTCTTTCTCAGTCGTCGTTGTCGTGGTCGATGGTATTGCGTGCGAAGGAGGAGAAAGACCAAAGGGACGAAGAAAAATGAAGACGTAATGCGATCGTGGCTGCGCCGCTTTGCGAGAGATAACTCTTGTAAGGATAGTGGTTGTGCCTGGCACGCGATACACGGAATTGTCGTCCGCGCTCGTTCATCTCAATAAATTTTCTTTCATTACGGTCGTCACCCGGCGGGAGGCTGGGCCGCGATCTCATTTCACCGGACAATTACATGTGACTTGTTACCGCGATATAATTTTAATTGGCTGCGAGAATACATTCGGCGTCTGCGCGACGCACTAAGAATAAACTGGCGCCGGCCATTGTAACGCTGTAGCGCCGACCATAAATTCATACGGGGCGAGGAGACGAGGGGTGAGGAGGGAGGATACGCGCGCCAATTATTTCTGCGCCGGGGCATCAGCAAAACGTGTCGTTTTAACGATGTCACGGACAACTAGAAACATCGATTATTCGGCGAACGAGCATGTAATTTGGCCGCGAATGAATGCGTCCCGCGTGCGGCCGCGCCCTCGTTCAATTTATTCGCGTGCAGCAGCCTCGGCGACGAGTTCTCGCTTTAATCGCCATTTAAACGATTATCAGCCGATGCCCAAGCTTGTAAATAAAGACCACGGTTAACGAACTTCACGATATATATTTTCTATTAAACGCGAGCAACGATCGATTCATGTCCGTTACATTGATCGATCGATCGATCGACTCTCCCTCAGTCCATCGAATTTAGTTAATTTCGATCTGTAGATCTAGGAACGAGAAGGAACTTTTTTTTCCCCCCTTTCATTTGCCGTAGAATGAATTGTGGAATTCGAGAATGAGAAAGAATCTAACTTTCTAACTTTCTCCTTTCGTGGATGTTACGTTCTTTGAAAGTTCGTTTAGAACGACCTTTTTTTAGGCTTCCGCCAAATTCACTCTTTTGTAGATGGCGCATGATCAAAAAAAGGGGACCACTGGTTTCAATCCTTGCTGCAAGAATACAGGATTTCATTACGAGCTCACGCGAGAAGAATCTCGCATTATAATTCGCAAGAGTTAGGTTAACATTTTGCAAATCGTATGTGATCGTACAATGTGATGAAAAATTTCAACATTTATTAATATTAATTTGCAATTCCGCGTGAAGAATTTATATCGTAATAATATCAGTAATATTTAATCGAACACCTCTTAATAGTGAACGAATGATCGAGATTCACGGTCGTAATTTTGTTATATTGAGAGTTATCGAATTTTGAAATGCTACGTGCACGATTGTTCGTTGCGTCGCGTGTATAGTATGCGTGTGAAATTTTTAAATATTAGGTGTGAGAAAGCATCGTTGCGAAAATATGCGAATACATGTGGACAGATATTAAATGTACAATAACTTCAGTAAGTTTAATCAACTGGTTATACAATCGAGCACACCGAGCTCGATCGTTTTCAATTCTCGTTACCAGTCTACTCATCTTGTTATTTTGTTGCTATCTGAAAGCTATTTCGCTGTTTTTTTTTCTTTTTCATTACCATCACCGATTGCTAACTGTAACCATAGGTCATATATCGTTCCATCGTCCAGCGCTTTATTCTGCATTGTATATCTTCGATGTCTTTGTTGGAATATATCGATGAATGATGCGAGCGTGTGAGTGTGATTGTCTTTTGTCGTCAACTAAACATATGAATACTGGGTCCGCATAGAGGAATTGATCTCGAAGCCTCGTTCTGAACGTGCTGACACATGCATTTCTCGTTTCTCAATTACATTATCGCCAATTCTTGTTCTATAATTAATCGAATAAACTCTGACAGTCTTTACCAAGCAAAATTTGCGCGAATGTAGTACAACGTGAACACCACAGTCTCAACAAATTCTTTTTACGTTTCAAGAGAGAAATGTTAAAATTCCAAGTACTTTCAATAAAGTCGACATTCATCATTTAGTACAGAGTGTTTTAATCTATAAGTGAATGTTTTTAAAGAAATTTTGTTACATTCCGAGAAGGAGGTAATTTGATGAGATTTATTTATTTCGAGGAGATTTAATTTCTTTAAATTAAACTCTAATTTAATACACCAATACAATATACTAATAGATACTCGCGTCGTTTTGTTCTCTATATAAAGAATTATTGAGACCTATTTAGATTAAAAAATTATTAGTTTAATAATATTATATTATATATATAATATATTTAATATTATATATATATATATGTATATATATTAGGTCCTTGTCTTTCACGCATAGGTTTTATAAAATTGAACCCCGTGTATATTTACGTATTATGAAATTAAATAACGTGAAGTTAATAATAAGCATATACTTACATATTACGGAGAATTGCAAACTTGTGTTAAAATTCAGTAAAATTTTTCATTTCTTACGTAACCTGCATCATCTATCGAGTAGAATGTATCATTAACGATTACTCAATTTTTTCTACTTAAAATATACTACGAGATGTATTCATATACATTGCATAATCTACGTAATTAAATGAAATTTATTTCCTCCTCCTAGATTAAATGAATAATTCCTACGTTCGATGATTATTACTCTTGCGTCAACGGAATTAAAAATTCACGGTGAAAACATTGGTTTAATCGGTCGAGCTTAATCGTAGTCACATTGATTTTTGTGCGTTTGGAGTTAGTGAGACGGCAATTTAGCG